TTTATTTATGATAAACACATATTTTGATATTCATACAAAAACCAAATACCATCCTATACCAAATTATTACTGCTTTCCAATTTACTTCATCTACTTTCCTCCTTTCGAAGGACTATTAAACCAGAAAAATGCCAAATAGGTCAGTCTCATGCATTATTCCATTTCATTGATGAAATACTTAATCATTAATTTATTTTCCAAAGAGGTAAAAACATGAGGTTTATTAGATGAGTGCTTTTCAAATATTATTTGTATTTGAAATGTCTGGTGATTTTGTTAAAAGGCAAGTGCCAATTCAGCAGGTCTGAAGTGGGTCCTGAGATTCTGCATTTTAACAGACTCTCAGGTGGATGTTTATGCCTCTGGTTTAAAACTCAGTTCCTTAGTCAAACAAGCAACATTTCCAGTGCTCAATTAGTAGTGAACAGTGCAACTATAAAATATTTTTATGACGTTCTCTTGGACAGTGCTGATTAGGATAATGTATAATTATTTAAGTAAAGCATAATTAAACATTGGCAATTATCATTCTTGGCAAATTTCAGAATTTTCAAAGACCTACTACTTTGATGCCATTTGGTTGCCAAAGGTCATTTACTTGAACAAAACCTCAGATGGCTGAAAAGCTTCTGTGGTGATTAGTATTTGTGGTTACTTCTGCTTGGGAACATACAGTTTTTGTTTGGATTTTTTGACAACCAGACAGACAGCGGTGTGCTTATTGAGCACTGGCTGTGGCAAAACACTATACTGTACTTCATTCTTTTGGAATAGTTTCTATCCTACAAGAGCTTAGGGTGTAATGTAAGAGACCATATGGAAAAAGAGCATTAATGTGGAATATCTTGACTTCTCAAAATTCATTTTCAGATGAAATGCCTATCTTCAAACTTGATTATAATTATTTCTATCATCTGCTTCATATAATTATTGTTTCTGGTACTGACATTGTCCGGAAAATATTTGATGAGGCTATGCCACCTCCTCTTTTGAGAAAAGAGCTTCTTATACACAAGAATGTGCTGGAATCCTACTACAACCATCTTTGGACCAATCATCCTTTGGGTGGATCATGGCATCTGCTTTATCCCCCAAATAAGGAGCTACCACAGTCCAAACAGTTTGACTTATGCCTCCTGTTAGCTCTCATTAAACATTTGAATGTGTTCCCTGCACCCAAAAAAGGCTGGAACATGGAACCGCCATCTTCTGATCTCTCTAAGTCTGCAGACATCCTGAGGCTGTGCAAATACAGGGATAGTCTCCTTAGTGAGATTCTGATGAATGGTCTCACTGAGTCACAGTTCAATTCAATTTGGAAAAAAGTTTCAGATATTCTTCTGCGCCTTGGGATGAAGCAAGAGGATATTGACAAAGTGAAGGAGAATCCCATTGAAAATATCTCCCTTGATTACCATCAGCTATCCATCTACTTAGGCATACCAGTACCAGAAATCATACAGAGGATGTTATCCTGCTATCAACAAGGTACTAAATAATTATTTATTTCAGCCAAAAAACCTTCACTGAGTGTCTGCTCTGTGCCAGGTATAGTGCAAAGGGCAACAAATTCACTGAGCTTACATGTTTAGGAGAAATAGCTTCATCAAGAAGGTAATAGAAATTATAGTACTAGAGATGTTTCTAGAATACCGTGGAAAATCTTAGTCTAAGGGAGTCTGAAAAAATTTTCTTAAGAATATAATAGTTAAAGAATTCTTAAATGATGTGTAGAAGTTAGCCAAGTGAAGCAGATGGGCAAGGATGTTT